TAGCGTTCACTGAAACATAACGGATTCAGTTTTAAGACACCCCATAATAAAAAAATATCAAAATACGCTACTACGTACCTTCGTAAGACCTAACCGAATGAATCCTTATCACAAACATGTTTCCGTGACCTGCTAACGATTTGTTAAAACTATACTAAACAGACTCTATTCACTGACCTCAAATGTGACCTCGTGACTAGCCAGTCAAAATGTAGCCTTTGTGAGAGTCCTAAAGTGCAAAACGTTGGTAGGATTATACAGCATTAGAAGCTGATTAATGGTTGTATTGAGGGTAAATATCGATAAATCAAGCAGGAAGTCCTAGTACTATAAGCTGCCATTAAAATAAATCCTTAACCCTAACACTCCTTAATCTAATTCCTAGCACCTAATGCTCGTAATCTTTGCACTCCTAACACAGAAATACTGATTGCAGTTTATTCTACAAGAAAATCATCATCTAGTCTTTTCAAAGAATGAATTATAGCCAAAAACATAGGTCTCGACAACGAACTACTCGTAATAGCATGTAAAATTCGCGCTAATATTCAACGTCGACTATCCCAATTTTGATTGGCTTTTCAAGACCGCCGGCATATTGTAGTATTACCATACGTTTTAATGTTGCACGAACCAGAACAAACCATTCACAGGTTTTCTCAAAGAGATATCATATTTGAATAAAAATGTTAATCATGACTTACCATATTGTCTTCCATTATCCATGAAACTTATTGAAGCACAGAAGAACAGCCGGCGGAAAATGACGGCAATCAATTCAAGTATAATTGTTACGTTTATTTTATACTTCTTCCCCTTTAGATATGATCTCACAATCCTACATCCTTCTAATCTTGAATCCTTATGTTAACTCACGTTATTCACCTAGACTATATACCTGTCTATTTAAATAGTGATAAAAAATAAATAAAAAGGTATATGACAGTTAAATGGGCAGTTGAAATACTGTTGGTGTTTTCTATTTCGTTAAAATTCTACGTTGTGTAAGATTGACTACTGACTTTTGGTATATTTGGATAGTGTAATAAAGAGATAATTATCAGAACTACGTGATATATTGGCACAATAAATTCCTAACGATCTGATCACACGTATAATTTCAAGATACTCAACACTCATTTCGTCGTTTCATTAAGAATATCTACGTAAAAACAATTGACTATAAGCAAGAGCAAGTTTCTTTAATGAAAACATTGATCAAAATAGAACTGATAAGTTTGATGAGGTAGACTGATTATAAAATTGTTAATAAGAAAAAAATGCAGTCTTCAACCATCAATATGTCTTGTAGTGGCTGTGCTTCGTTGACCAATCACCTTCGTAACTGTTATAATATAATCCTCAACGGTGTTTGAAATCAGAAAGCAAAGAGAAGCAGCGACTACAGTTTTCTTGGCAGATAACTCAGATCACAAGGCAGCGAGGCGAATGAGTGAGTCAGCGAACCGAGAGTGTAGTGTTAAATATATATATAGGAAAATGAATGGATCGTCGAATCAATAAAGCTAGCAGAATGAATATATGCGTAGGCGGTAAGCAATGTTCAAACATACATATTTCATACAAGCACAATAATAATAAAGGTACAATAAGCTGTTATAGTACAGATGACTTTGCCCGCTAAATAAGTTAACAAAAGGGCTTAACTAAGTTAAATGAGAACAAACTCAATCGCACGTGAGATGCTCTAGTGTCTTAGATACTTTTCAGAATTGTATTGTACCCAACGTTGTTCGATGACTGTTTAATAAATTAATTGATTCAAATATTGCTTTATCACATATTTCAGTGCATTTAAATTCATTTTGTATCGTTTGTTTGAATCTTCTTATTGATGTTTAAGACTGCAATTGATCAGTCTCTTATTGCCTTATGTGAATCCTATGCAGATTGCTTCGATATTGCCTTAAGTCACGAGCATTATAAGCAAAGGTGGATGGTGACTAGCAGTAGAATCCAGCAGGTGCATTTTGTCCTATTTGAGACTCGTCAGCTGGATGTACCTGCATCCCAGAATTGTTCACTCAGTAACTCGATACTGATCAATTGCAGTCCTAAACATCAATGGGAAGATTCAAACAAACAATAAAAAATGAATTCAAACTTCAATTCATTGCACAAGCCAGTGGCTATCAGGACTCAGTAATCAAGTGGGTAACGCGATGGCGCTTGAAGCGAACGGCATTGGATTCGATTCTTGGAGTGAACAACAATTCTCGAGTCCAGGTGCATCCTGGTGACAAGTCTCAAATAGGACGAAACGCGCATCCTGAAATCCACTACTAGCCACCATCCATCTTTTCAGTACATTTTTTATGAATTATTTTACTATGTAAGAGAGAACTTATAGAATTTATAATTTGTGATTTAATCTTATATCATTACAATAAAGTCTGTTAATTCTCGAACACTATCGAAGTTTGTACACCTAATTAACAAAATTAACCATCAATAAAGTCAATCAGGACAAAAACAGATTGGTTTGAAGAAAGAACTTCATTTTTTTAACTCTGAAGGCGACAATTTATACTGTGTTGCTTGTAGTTTTGACAATAATTAGCAATGGATTCTACAAAATCTACTTTGTCTTATATGAAATTTACCAACTGAATGCACCTCAACTCGAAAATTTATGTTCCACACTAGAACCCCAAACCCTTATTGCTTAATACCAACGTCAGAATATTATTCACCAGCCTATAAATTAACGTCAAATGTTTCCAACTAAAATAATTTGTGATTAATACAATTTTCCAAACTAACCTTAACAGTTCTTTTTCATTAAATAATCCTATATTATTTCAATCAGTCAATTGTATAACAAACTACCCAGCTATGATTCAACATTCTATACACTTAGTAGATTATGAACAGAGTGATCCCGAAGACTGTTAGAGGTATGAAAACAGTTGTCTGTTTCCAACCCCCTTGTACATTGAGCAGTATGACTTCACCTTCGTACCTTAAGTTGCTGGTTTTTGTCTTACTGTCCTCTACTTTTGCAACCTCAAGTGGTGTCCGTCAAGGTTGTCCACTTTCCCCATTTTTGTTTAACTTCATCATAGATCTACTGATGGAAATAACTTTCTCGTCGACTGAGTTCTCGGGTATTGATCTCCATCCAGGAGGTCCACTTATCGACTTAGAATACGCAGATGACATAGTCCTGTTTGGTGAAGACGCTGACAAAATGCAGAGTCTTTTGGTAGCACTAAGCAACAATGCCAGAATGATTGGAATGCGCTTCTCTCCCTCGAAATGCAAGTTGTCGCTTCAAGATTGGTCTGCGTCAACACCTGAACTAAGGATAGGGAGTGAAGTAGTCGAACGCGTTAGCAACTTCACTTATCTTGGAAGTCTGATCAGCGCTAATGGGTTGGTATCTGACGAAATCTCAGCACGGATTCGAAAAGCTCGCTTGGCTTTTGCCAACTTGCGTCACCTTTGCGAAGGCGACTATACTGCGTGGCAGTCCGTTCTGTTTTAATTTATGGCAGCAAAACATGGCCACTAAGAGTAGAAGATACTCAGTGCTTGAAGTCACTAACTTCTAGTCTGAGCCATGTTGGTAGATGCAGACTACTTGGTTGGGGTCCGCGTGACTATCGTAACCAATGGTTGGAGACTCTTGGTGACATGGCTCAGAGTCGATCACAATGGCGTCGGTGTATACACTCCCTGTCTTCCCTTAAACTAAGAGATTAAAATCACTTCATATCTTTCTTTCTACGAACCAATTCTTTCTTCTTGTACTATATCTCTATATGCAATCTTTCTCTTATATATTACCACCTTTGACCTAACCACTGCTATGAATCCGGTGTTCATCTTGTTGTGCTGATGCGGTATGGCAACCTGGACCGATGCACATATGTGCCTGGTCCTACGTTGTAGCTGACCGACTGTCCTCCAGCCGACCTATCTGTCATTGTAAAACCTAGGAAAACAACTGTTCTAGCTAATGTAGGTCGACTAAGTTGTCACAATACGCAACCTCGATCACTACGTCAAGGCAGCAGCTATAGTTAAACCTATACGATTGATTCACAGTCGTTATGTATTGAGAATTACACCAATAAACAATGTTCACGTCATATGGTTTACCTTCTCTACGCCATCAAGACAAATACATGCTGTTTTATTCAGGCTTTTAATATACAGTACTAATAGTACATGAATGAGTCACATGGTTACAATTTAAATATAAAACTGTCAAAAACCACTCAAGAAACAACGACACAATAACTCGGAACAAATTGATGTGAACTATGGTAGAATGGAATGCGCAAGGCTACAATATATATATATATATATATTCCACTCTGCCAGTTTACGTCAATTCGTTCCGAGTCATTGTATATATAAATAGAATAAAATCAACATATTAAAGAAATGCTGACACTTGATGTAAGTTGATTAGTGTAGGAAAAAATCAATACCACAAATTATACGGTATCTATAGTTTGAGTAACATTAATAAACTAGAAGTAAATCTGAACAGTCGCTGTCTCATCTGGTGTAATTGCTCGTTACGAGATTTGGAGATCTGGGGTTCGATCCCCAGTACGTTTGTAGATACGCAATGCCGAGGAGTCTCACAGGAGGACGGGATTACTGTCCAGTGCTTCCTGGTTCTCAACGGTTATTTCGTGATGCTAGCTATGAGATTAAACACTCCACCAACCCATTACTTACCAAAAGCGGTTAACAAAATTAATCAGGTGACTGAGGTGATCAGATTGGTAATTTATATCAGGAAATCAATATATAAATCCAAACTAAAAGACCGATACAACTGGTGAATAGAAGCTGTCGTCTCACAAAATATTTAACTAATTTAGTTGGCTTGGCGAAAAATGTTACAGAGCAACCAGTAATCCAACACTTCCGTTCGATATATCACCATGAAGAGCAGTAGACATTTTACTGCTACTTGTAACTTGCGCCTGAATGCCGGATTCCAAGGGGAAACTGCAAATTTTTTACTCTACTTTCTTGACCAATAAGGGGATCTTAGGTAAATTTCCGTTTTCAGAATTTCAATAAAAGCCAAAAATGTGAGATTGTCGAATGACTTAATAAAGTCAATGTAAGTTAAACTCCCTGGCTTCCTTTTATCTAAAGACTGCTCTCAGCTCTCTCTTGATGGTGGAGAGTTGATTGTGTATTGATCAACAAGAAGTTGGATTACAAAAAGATAATGGTCTTAATAATTCTTATCAACATTTTTACAATAAAATGGTCAACGAATCGATTTGTGTCGCTTGGATCCTATTTTGTCGATCGAGATAATTATGGTAGATCTCCAATCCAATGGTAAAATACACTGGATGCCTCAAGTTCTGAATATTACTATCAGGAGAACAGGTAGTTTTTAATATAAATCCTCAGCTGTTTAACTTCAAGAGAAAAGTATCCTCTACAAAGCTATTCATAATGTAAAAGCGAGGTATTATTTTTAAATTATGAAATACTTGATAAATGAAGAGCTGAATAGATTAATGCAGAAACTAATTCTGAAACATGGAAATTCAAAGAATGATAGAAAATTTCTGAAATCATGCCAAAAAATAACCAATAACTGTATTTATATAGACTTAATCTACAAATCTATACGGAAACAGACAACCAGTTACGTGGAAAGCGACCAATCAAATAAAAATACAAACCAAAAGTTAACAAAACTATGAAGACAAAGAGTCACAGATAAATTCGTCAGCAATAGATTGATTAAACGCTTGTAGAATAGTAATTAAACAAGGCATTTTTACGTCAACAAGACACTGAACATGTTGTCCAGAAGAACAACGAAAACTTTATAATTCAACCATTAAGCTTAAAGAATTCAATAAAATCGAAATCAAATAATCAGTCCTATTTCTTTATCAAATGGTTCCAAACACCAATACAGAAAAGTATAATGATTACATTTAAGTGGTTGAAGAGTTGTAATCTCATTTTATTTATCAATTCAATATAAGTCATAACCGATAAAAAAAATAAGGAATGGATTAGTAACAGGGAAACAGGATACAAAACTTAATTTCACAATAAAATAGAGATTTATTTCTTCGTGCAATAACATAGAAATATAATATTCGGATAATGAAAATTCATTCGAGTTGAAATTTATAGCTATGATATGATCAAGTGGAAAATATAACCAAGTTAGTGAACTAAAAAGAAAATTTACAAATATCTTTCTTGCTTAAGAAATTATTATCATATCAAAAGATCATTACGAATATGTATACAAGGATATATATGTACTATTGATCAATATTTATTAACATCAAGATTCTAATGATCAGAATCACCCCTCTCTGTATTGTTGTCATCAACTGTGGAAATGTCTTTAGCAGAATTTCCAACTATAATCTGTTTTGATTGATGTCCAGATAATAAGTATAATAAACATTGTTCCAGTAGTCCAACACATGAATCGAAACAAGGTCTGAAATATAGAAGAAAATTACTTCCATTATTAATATCAAAAGTTAACTGTTTTTGTCAAGTTGGATTGTGACATAAGTTCATCCTGGATGATCTTCAATTTAAACAAGAGTATTAATTAAAGTTTGGTTATGGATAGCAGCGGAATCGAAGATTCATATTTTGTCCTATTTACGACTCGTTAGCTAGATGTACTTGCATTGCTGTATTGGTGTTCTTCACACTGAGACTCGAATGCGAATTTGCTTCAGATTCCAACGCATTATCCATTGAGCTACTCAGTACATTAAACTACTAACTTGTTCAACGGGCATAAATTTGTTTTGAAGTGCTCTTGGTTATTGTATTTTAGGATCTAATGGTTTAATATGTTTTGATGAACTGTCACTTTTATAGATAAACCAATTAGGATTAATTTGTATTTAAGATTTTTATGCGAAATTAAAAAGTAGTCCTGTAACAGCAAAGAAAACACACTGGAGGAAAGATTAACAGTTAATTGATGTGCTTCATTATTTAACCTGTGAACAGGGTCAGAAATGAAAACACCATGGATTAATGCTAAAACTGCATAAGCAAAGTGAGAATGAATGGTTGTAAGCTGCTACTTGTTTGACGATTTGCACATTCTGTGCATTTACACTATACTTAGTGTGTTGGTTATACATCATCCACCTGAGCTAGAAATCTCCACCATCTCAAAAACTAGTAACTTATTTTATTGACCCGGGATTTCTCGGTTGGTGTCCCTAGTTGTGTGGTTATTGTTAGCATGTTCTGAGTCCATTGTGAAGAAATTCTAATAGCTCACTTCTTTTGAAGAAGAGTTTCAACTGTTTCGGGTTGATAATAAGTTAAACATAGTAATATACTATGGAGACAACACGAAGAAAACATGGATACTATGACCGCTAAAATTCAACTATATCAGTTGTGAAGCAATTATTCAATGGTGGCCATATGATAACTGTTGAGCTATATCTCAAAGCTGGCTGATACTTGACAGTATATTGATTTCCCAATCATCAAAATAGAGAGAAAGTTTTAAGGTATTTCTTCGTTGAGAGGGAGTAAATTACAAACTCTAATAAACAAAAAATTAGGTGAGACTATAATTTATGGACTATCTTCGGGCGACGCTAAACTGACCTTGAGAGTGTCCACCTAATAACTAGGACCAAATGAGGCTTACAAACAGTGTGAGGAATCAGAATTATGATTGGCGGTTGATGATCAAGGTTAGGAATTAAATCTCGGTTTTTCATCACGAACTGACGTCAGCTATAATGCCAAAACTCCATTTATCCAAATGGATGAGTGAATTTTGCGTCAAAATTGGAGACCTGTTATTTTATACGTGATTAGTTCGTCCATAAATTATTGTCTCGCCAAAAATTACCAATCAGTAAATATGTGAAAGTGAAGTGGTAACATATGACGACGTAAAAGTACTCATCTCTCAGCTAAACGGTTTCAGATTCAAAAGGTGTTTAGTGGCCGGGTATTTGATTGTTATCGAAATACACATGTCGCCAATCCTCGTATATAATTATCGACTTAAATCGCGTTGGTGAATAACGAAACTAAATAAGTCAAATATGAGAATGGATTTTCTAATATGTATATTTTGTACAATCATTAATCGGAAAGTGAAATAAAACAACATGATACGTAGCGAGGAAGGTGAGTGAGCCGAAATGATGTCACCAAGCCTTGATCGATAATTATAGTTACACAAAAATAAGCTACAGAAATGTGATGATTAGGATAAGTGATGCATATATATGCGCTCACATGAAAGCAAGGCTGATAAGTTACAAGGTCAAAATGTAGCTTGAGAAAAATGAGTAAATTGGTCTGTGTACAGAAATGAGAATATCCTATGTGGGCTTGACATGTGGCCATACACCACACATAAGCCAATTACTTCAAATTCACCCGAGATACAAGTGTGGCTAAACATCACATCAACTGATGTGGCTTAAGGTCGAGGACATTAACTTGAACATGGCAAGTAAGTTAAGTATATGCTACGTTGGTATGAGGAATCATTTGTGTATTTTATAAAACTGTTTTTCTTGATGTAAACTTGATCCACATAACTGATCGTCTTTATTTAATATATAAATGAAATTATGAATAAATTTGAAGCAAAAATCCTACCTATTTCTTGGATCCAATGAAATGCATTGACTTGTCATGTTTAATAATATTGGTGGTGTATTGATAGGAAAATTTTCTAGTTTCATTAATTCATCCATTTCTATACAGAAAGTTTTTGCATCACGTATTAAGTTATCTGGATCAGCATTTGTACGTAGAATTAATTGACACATAATTGTACCAAATGAATATACATCCACTGAATTATCATATGGTTGACCAACTATCATTTCTGGAGCCATCCAGTATGGACTACCAACCTTTTTATAATTAATCGTAAGAAAGAGGGAAACAAAAGTTATATACAGAAAACGATATTTAAAACACAAGGACTTTATTATTTCAGTGAGTTATACAGGCTGGCACATATATGTATCGGTTCAAATTCACATACCATATCAATACAGGAAGATTAGATCATCAAACTAGTAGAAATAGCAATAGCGGAAAATTTTTACATATAGCCAATATGATTAAAGAAAGAATAAAACTGACCAATAAAAATTATGAATATTTAAAAAAAGAGTGGAATATATATGGCTGGTTTTGGTTAATGCCACTCAAGGTATCTAATCAATGGTTACGATAATTGCGCGGATCCTAACAAGGGAGCCTACATCTATTTAAACAGCTCAGTCCAGCAGTCAATAACTTTATGTACTGATGTTATATCTTGGTTATATCTTCCAACGACTCCTATAATATTGTTCGTGAAGGTAGACAGTGGTTGGGTATACGCAATACATATCCAAGGTTATGTCGTTGGTCTGAACCTAAGTGGATTTAGGCAGATGTGATAATGGTGTGGTGAACAAGAATTTAGTTGAGGACAACCAAATTACAAAGTATCTTGCTGAAATATAAGAATCGTACACTGAATACTTCATTTGAGAATTCCCATCATTTGTCTTTCACATTCCGTATAATTCTTTCAGTTCACAATTCCTTTCAATTTTCCTTTTATTCTCTTCAACTCGATCTTTTTAGGCTTCAACTACCAGGTTTCCCACTTTCGGTGTTACATACTACTTATGTCGACAGACATGAGTAATATACACCACAGTAATATTAATAGTCTTCACATATAGCGTGATTTGCAGCTGGGCATATGAAATATTTGGTAAAAATAAATTATAATATTTAACTAATATTGGATTGGTCGAAACAAGTTCATTAAAAATGGACTTTTGTATAAGTGTAGTGTATTTGTAGAATTGGATGATCTTATGGCTAATAAAAGTGATTTTAGAAACAGTGAAATAGGCTATTATTAGTTTCCCTGAAAAAAAGTGTTTTAATACCTTTGTTTATTCTACCTTACTGTTACCGTGGTGTGGGTTACTTATATCCACATAGGTGGTCAGGCATAGAATGTATTTCAGTAGAAGATTGATAAGGAAAGAACGGGAACGGAACGCAATTGGTATGAAAATGCATGAACGATGAAATCTGAGACAATGGACTGATATTTACAAAAGGAAAAGTCAAGTTTGAGACGATGGATTGATATTTTGTAAATTAACTTAGTGTCAGTTATTATGTCAAGCCCATATACCTTATTCTTCGTTTCGGACAGACCATTTCATTCATTCTACTTGAGTCACATTCTGACCTTGTTATTTATTCGCTTATCAATCTTGGCTGTTTTTATATGAGCGCGTAGGTGTGTGTACATTTCTTATCCCATTACTCATCACATATCTGTAACTTACGTTTGTGTAACCATAAGTATTGATTAATGCTTGGTTAAATGGGAGTTGGCTTACCAGCCATCTCCACTCTGCATTGTTTCTCTTCTTTCTATTCCATTCGCTTTATATACAAAATATAAGTATTCACAAGTCCATTCTCGTTATTCGACTTATTTAATTCCGTTATTGATTAACACAATTTAAGTCGATGACTATATACGAGGATAGGCGATAACAAACATTCATACGATCTAATTGTAGTCAGATCTCGAGCCACTAAAGTGGAGAGCCCTTTCGACAACAACGTCCGATCTAAATGACGACAAAAATAACGGGCCCCACAAACTATCTACTATATGATTCTCAGATTTTATTGAGATGCTCTGTAATTTCGTATCAAATACACTAAACTGTTCCCACTCGTGTACTTGTTCACTATATTCAACAGAATTTTATTGCCAATATTATTGTAATTATTATCATACTGTAGAAGTACGTATATATTTGCCGAAAACAGAACTCTCCACTGAACTAATCTTTCTTATTTTATGTCTCAATGAGCGTATTCTATTTACTAGAAACTGTTGTAAAGCTCGGTTTTAGTTTGTCTAATGTTATAACGGTTGGGTTTCCACTTTTACACGAATGGGACGTAAATTACCTTAGACGAATATCTACATTATATTCCCTCCTAGTGTCTATTCTAAAGGATATCAACATGACTCAGATCAAGAACACGTGATTAGCCTGGCCACAACGTAAATATATTTCCACACCAAAAACCCGACACAATCCAACAACAATGAACAATCAATAATAAGTCAGTAATGATAATAAGGATAGGGGGATATATAACTCGTCTGACACCTATCCGACTATCTACATGTCTGACTAAGCAGACAACCAATTATTATCATTCTCGCCCACACATCAGAAACACACTGTGTCATGAAGTTATTGTTAAAATGGTATAAAATTCGAGATCACATCGTAATTCAGTATGATATTTAAAATGGTATATTTTTGTCCAGTATATTTGTGGTGAGACTTTGGTTTATGTACGACCCTGGAAAGATACTAAAGTGACCTCGAGAAAATCCACCTACCTACTACGATCGGAAGAAGGCCATAAATCCGTGTGAAAAATTAGGATCGGGATTTAGAGTTAGGAATTGAAGTTATCATCGCGAAATGATATCAGACATAGTGCTAAAACGTTAGGATAGACTCCACTTTCGTTCGTAATTTTGACCGTGCACCTGGCAACCAACCAAAATGAAGTGGTAATCATTATCTGCACTATCGTCAACCAAGATGGAGGGTATGTTTCTTTGTCGTTGTTGGTCGCTTACATCAAAAATATAAAGTTTTCTACGACGAAAATACTACTCTATAGTGCTACGGACGTGTCAAGTGTAGTGCACTCAAGTCATGATGGAAGAAAAATTACAACATAGCAAAAACCATATCTCCAATTTATCCTAAAATATAAATTACCCCAACATATCCACAATTGAGTAACTGAATAAACGACATAATAACCGTAATTACTGACCACGACACACTCAGACGAACTGAGTCCTATTTTGCCATATAGGTGAATGGATTTCGCGCACAAGTCCGAGACCTGACATTTTAAATCTGATTGGCTCGTCCAAAAATTATAGTCTTGCCATATTTGTTTTATTTCAGTGTAATATTTATTCAATATAAAATAGTTTTATATTAAACTTAGTGTGATATTTATTCAGTGTAATATCGAGAATTAATTTTGTTTTTGAATCACAGAAAAATCCCCTTAATAATACATATTTTCATTACCTTCAGTTGTATATGGATATTCATTATTGACTAATCATTGTTTTCCAGTGAAGTCTATGTATAAATGAGTGTGTTTAATCGCTATGTGTTTTAAAGGGTGATATAAAATTATTATCTATCATCAGTGATTATCATTTTATTTGCGTTGTGTAAACTTCTGTTTTGGTTTTCCAAATTGTACATGATATAGGATACAACTGGTTTAAGCTTTAAAACTGATTTGACTAAGGGATAAGAAACAGTTTATGGTATGAAACACACATCACAATTGATTGATCACTGGGTGGCGATCAATGTCATGCGTGTCTAGTCCTTATTAGTGCAGATCGAATGCTATCGACCATATTGCAATGTGACTACCAGCCAAGTAGCACGAAACCCGGGTCCAGGGTGTCCTGACGACTACCTCCAACCACAATCTAATGAAACACACATATTAAGTAACGTCAAAGAATACCCTAGGATAACTGAAATTATTTCATTTGGTTGAGTGAAATTACTTGAAACCAATAGATACTGACTTTTTAATGCTTAACAATCATTTCACTTACTACAGTATGTCTTCTTGGATGGTTGTATGCATGATGACGTCTAAGACGAGGAGTATGATTACGTTGAACATCGGCGTTATTTGAAGTATCAGAAGAAGAATCTTGAATTATTGGTGCGGAGTCATTTGTTGTTGTGTGATCGGAGCATTTTTCTTCCGTTTCCTGACTACAAGACGGAATTGACCGAACTAATTTTGACAATCCGAAATCAGACACAACTACAGAGTCATCCTAATGAAAAGAAAATAAGAGAACTTTCTAGAACACTATTTTTCAACAGTCAACTCATAAGACTTATTAGTCAGAAAAACATCAAGTGAATGATATTATGATGAATAAAATTTTCGGGACCGACTTATTGCAGACTTTAGTAGGTGACACAACAAAAAACAATTTTGGTTGTTTTTTGTGTGAGAGAAACCATGATAATTAGTTTAAATAAAGTGACAATTGTTTTATATTATAACTATTAAGGGATTATATTATACGGTTGTCATTAAAAAAATGGTTAGAACAATGTAATCCTTTCAGGGTACACATATACCAACAAAGACTGATCAAAATTCAGCCATGATGATCAACAATGAAACAATAGACTTTTACCAATAGCATAAGACAACGTGCCTGTTGAACAAGTTGGTGGCTAACTGAACAGAATAGCTGTCAGCAGATAACTCGTTGAGGTATAAAGTAAAAAGTATTGGGTTCGAGTCCCATTGTGAAGAACATCAAACAATGGGATGGAGGTATATCTAGATGATGGGTCCTATGTAGGACGAGAAGAAAGTCCTGGATTCCAATCCTGATATTCTAGGGAAGTGGTATCCAAGTAATTTCTGAGTGGACAGTGGCCATAAATGTGAAATGTTATACGGTGCATCGGTTTTAGCGGCTTCCATTTCTCATTGTGGGAGATCTCATTAAAATTTACTGTACTCTTATTTACAGCATCAAAGTGGTATGCTCCAATGGTACACGTAAGTTTTAAAATCCCTCTTATACGGTAAAGGACAGAAAATTTAACAATAACAATCGACTACATAAGTTGAAGATTAAAAATTAGTTATGGAGTATAGATCACATAGCAATATAAAACGCAGAGATTTCAGCTGGTATAAAGTACTTGGGTTTAAATAGTTATTAAAGCTGCAATATTTTGTGGATGTTTACTTGTGAAGATAACGGTTCATACATTTTTTTCCATTGTAATATTCATGATTTATATGAAGGTTTTGAAGCTGCGCAGATGCTCAAAACGAAACTAATGTATTGATGAACCACTGAGTAGTAACATATCTCATGGCTATCTAGTCTTGATTGCTGGTCAAATCATACTGATCAAGTTGCAATGTGGTCATCGTGACTTCAGTCACTACTGTGGTTAATCACTGCAAATATTTTAATTCTACAGGAGGTCAGTCACCACTCGAATAGCTGAACGATACCGTTTTAAACTGTGATGCTGGTTGATGCAGCCTCGAATCCCACAAGGACAATTAGATACCTAGAAGTTAGAGGTACGGGTTGTTTATAAGCGCCAGATGGCACGAAATCCAAGTCTGTAGTCTTCAGCCGACTAATTCCAGCCACTTAACATCAAAACAAAGTTAGTAGTTTTACTGACCATATAATTTTATCTAAGAGTACCGTAGCAACGCCAAAAAATGTAGTATAAATTAGGTTCACCAGCCATTTATTTCATTATGATCCCAAAACTGACGTACATTCCTACTAGTTTCGAATTAAACATTTCAAACTAACATTTATTTGAACCCTCATTACTAAATGATTCGATTAAAACAGTTTGACGTTATCTACCTCAATCTTGTTTGGTTTCAATTATATTTTTGTTGTTGAAAGAATTGTTTCTTTTAAGAAAAGAAATTTGAAGAATACTAATAGCGTTTCAAATCGTTAACACAATGAATGATGTTTATAAATAATGTTTAATTAGCTTACTTGTCGTACAAGACAATTAAGAGTTGTTAAATCCCGATGTATAACGTCATGTTTATGTAAATAAGCCTAAAAGTCGCATCAATAAAAATACAAATCGTGTTAATTCACAAAGAATAAATAATTTTTTGGTATTTTATTTATAAGTAATGTAAACTGTTGCATTATTTAATATTTTCATGGTTCAGAAACATTACTCGCCGACCAGCATTCTCTAACCCAATCTATCATGGGACTTCATTTCTGGTTCTATCCTATTTTTGTTCATTTTCCTCATGTCTATCTCCATTTCTCGACGTAATGTGTTCATTGGTCTTACTCTTTCTCCTTTGGCCTTGAGGATTCCAAGTGAAGGCTTGCATTTTGATGCAGTTGAGTGCCTTCCTCAATGTGTGTCCTATCCACTTCCAGCGATTCTTCCTGATTTCTTCCTCTATCGGGATCTGGTTTGTTCTCTCCCACAGTAGGTTTTGCTTATAGTGTCTGGCCAACGTATCCAAAGTACTTTGCATAGACAACTGTTAATAAACAGTTGTATCTTCTGGATGATGATTTTCGTAGTTCTCCAAGTTTCCACCCCATACAGTAGAACTATTTTGACATTTGTATTGAAAATTCTGACTTTGATGTTGGTTGATAGTTATTTTGAGTTCCATATGTTCTTCAGTTGTAGATATGCTGCTCTTACTTTGCTGATCTGCGCCTTCACATCTGCATCAGATCCACTGTGTTCATCAATGATACTGCCCAGATATGTAGAGGTTTTTACATCTTCCAAATCTTCTCCGTCAATTGTGAATGGATTGATGCATGCTGTGTTGTATCGGAAAATCTTGCTTTTCCCTTTGTGTATGTTGAGACCCACTGCTGCTGAGGCTGCTGCTACACTGGTTCTCTTCTCCTTCATTTGCTGTTGAGTGTGCAATAAGAGCCAGATCATCTGCGAAGTCTAGATCGTCCAGCTGCAATCTAGCTGTCCACTGTATCCCATGCTTTCCCTCAGATGTTGACGTCTTCATGATCCAGTCGATCACCAGGAGAAAGAGGAAGGTTGAGTAAGCAACCTTGCCTTACACCGGTCTTTACCTCGAACGAGTCTGTCAGTTGTCCTCCGTGCATGATTTTACGGTTTAATTCATCACAGGGATTCCGTATGATATTGACTATCTTCTGAGATACGCTGTAGTGTCGAAGAAGCTTCCATAATGTTGTCCTGTCCACACTATCAAACGCTTTCTCGTAGTCAATGTTGATATAGAGCGATGAATTTCATTCCATTGATTGTTCCACAGGTTCAGAAACATGGTATATTACAAAATATTTACTTGCAATAAAATAATGTTCTACAGTATATTTTCTTCTTTATGATGATGATGATCTTGGAAAAATCTTTTAAACTGTCAACATTATACTGATTGTTTATTATAAACGGAACCAATCATTTAAGAACATCGCATATTTGTTTTTCATGTCTCTGGCAGATTTATCACGATAGAAACAGAACGGAATTTTCCTTAGATCCATTTATGAATTGTAAGCAAGGATTTTAATGACCTAGATATTAGTTTCGACAGATTATTGATAATTTAATTTAATTAATAACCGTAGACAGGGTAACCAGTTCACATATTTCTAGTTGCCTAAACACATGTAAAAAAAATATTACGTTAGCCTCTGTATACGATACACAATAAATCTTATTATTCAAACAAAATAAGGCGTCATTTATAAATTGATTAACAAACAAATATATGACCAGACTGTTTGAAATATACTACTCTGATATATCACATAGTTCTAATAAAGTTCATCTTAACGCATTATCTAGATTTATCAAATAGTCTGTTTATTTATTTTAATCACAATAATTACACCTTAATAACAATAATAAGCTACAACGTAGGACCAAGCCCATATATGTATCGGTCTAAGTTGTCATACCTCAATATCACAACAAGATGAATACCGAATTCATAGAAGTAGTTAATTCAATCGTAGTAGTATACAAAAGAAAGATTGTATATAAGAATATAGTACAGGAAGAAAGAATTAGTTGATAGAAAGAAAGATAGAAAGCAATTTTAATCTCATAGTTTAAGGAAAGACAGAGAGTGTATACACCTGAACCATGTCACCCAGAGTCTCCAACCATTGATTACGATAGCTACGCGGACCCCAACCAAGTAGTCTGCATCTACCAACACGGCTAAGACTAGAAGTTAGTGACTCCAAGCACTGATGCCACGTTTTGGTTTTGCCGCCCCTTATTTCTTCCAACCATCCACAACACTCGTCAGCATTATGCGTCGGGGTAATCGGTGTTCAGGCATACATAACACATGGCCCAACCATCTCAGCCAATGAAGATCCACAACTTCATCAACTGATTTACCATCATTTCCTAATACCCTGCATCTAACTTCACTATTACTTACCTGGTGATCCCAGCAGATGTAAGCAATATTTCTAAGGCATCTATGGTAAAATAATAGTAGCTTACGAGTATTTTCTACTCTTAATGGCCACATTTGCAACTGTAAAGTAGAACAGAGCGAAGTGCCGTGCTGATATCTTGCCTTCGTACGTGACGTACGTTGGCAAAAGCCAAAAGAGCTTTCTAAATAAAACAAAACATATTTTGAAAGAAAAAAAACAAAACAATTAAACTTACCATCCCTGATGCAATATCACGACCAAATGTTATTATTTTAATCCAATCAAATGGATATTTAATTTTATCCAAGCATAATGAATGTAAACTACCTTTTTCAATATATTCAGTAATAAGACAAAATTGTCTATTTCGAATAACCACACCGACAATTGTTAAAATATTTGTATGTTTTAAATTTTGAAGTAATGAAACCTGTAACAAAATATAAAAAAGATAATTGTTTAAATGAAGGGTAAAAAATATGATACTAGTCCTTCCTTACTGAGTGGGTTGGAGAATGCTGGTCGGCGGCCTATGCTCCACTAGGAGTAACTAGCGTAAGTAAAAATATGATAATAAGATAAATTAATGAAATAATGATAGATATTATGTTGTTTGAAATTGTTAAATATCTTGGAAACAATATGGAAGGACTAGCACTAAATTAAATTAGTTTATATTGATTTAGTTCATATGTCAATAGAGTGTGAGTGGAGAAAATTACTAAGGTGAAAGTCAAGAGTTGATATTATGGTCGTATGAATGATGGATAAAAACTATACGTAAAGAACGTTTAGACAGAGTCGAATTTCCACCATAGACGAGCTGCTGTATAAGTCCGAGAGATGGTGCTACACAGTAGCTAGAGGTTTTATCAGATATGGCTCAGAATAGAAGCCTGTGGCGATCCCGATGTAACCTTCTTTCACTTTCTTCGTAAAAGGTTGTTGTATCTTACTTAACTGAAAGATTTCTTCTGGTTGTACCTTTCCGTTCCCCCATTATTACTATCATTATTACACTACCTTACACCAATCCGTTCGTTATTGTTCTCTTTTTTTACGCTCCTTACCTTTTTTCTTTTTCCTTCTCTTTAAATTCTCATTGTTTTGTGCGGTGCATATACATTTGGCGCACTCTTGTACCAATATTTATGTGTTCAAATAATAATAATAATAAAATAATAATAATAATAAAATGCGTAAAGAGCAAATATTTCGCAAATAAAAACAGACAGTGAAACTGAAGAATAAGAATTATGAGATAATATTAAGACTTTAGAATTGAACACAACCGTTTCCGTACGATACTGTAATCTTTGAATCAACTGATAAACGCTTAATATATAAAAAAACGTTTTGTTATTTTTTAAAAATTATAACACAATACGTTTACGTTTGTTACGTCACCTATGGCGAGGAGATATCCGTCTATCAATAAAGGACGAGCATACTACGCGGCAGTCCGTTCTGTTTTAATTTACGGCAGCGAAACATGGCCACTAAGAGTAGAAGACACTCGTAAGCTATTAGTATTTGACCACAGATGCCTCAGAAATATGCTGGCGTCTGCTGCGACCAACGGGTAATAGTGAAGTTAGACGCAGGGTATTAGGAAATGATGGTAATCAGTTGATGAAGTTGTGAATCTTCATTGGCTGAGATGGTTGGGCCACGTGTTACGTATGCCCGAAAACCGATTACCACGACGTGCAATGCTAACCGGCGTTCGGGATGGTTGGAAGAAAGTTAGTGGCGGCCAACCAAAACGTGGCATCAGTGCTTGGAGTCACTAATTCTAGTCTGAGCCATGTTGGCAGATACAGACTACTTAGTTGGGGTCCGCGTGACTCATAACCAATGGTTGGAGACTCTTGGTGACATGGCTCAGAATCGATCACAATGGCGTTGGTGTATACACTCTCTGTCTTCCCTCAAACTAAGAGATTAAAATCGCTTCATATCTTTCTTTCTATGAACTAATTCTTTCTTCCCGTATTATGTCCTTACATGAAATCTTTCTTTTATATATTACCACCTCTGAATTAACTACTTTTATAAATCCGGTGTCCATCTTGCTGTGTTAATGAGGTATAGCAACTTGGACCGATGCATATATGTGCCTGGTCCTACGTTGTAGCCGATTGACTGACTAACGTTTGTTCACAGTCTTTTTCTTGTCTTCAGCCACTGATCTATTATCAAATATTAGAGTACGTTTCAGATTGATCTGAGAATTTCTATATCACTACATACATTACTATGATTCATTTTAGATGCGTATCAATCTATACAATGAAATGATTTAAAGCAATGATTTTATTTCAAAGGGTTCTGATACAGTTATATAACTTCACGAATTGTTAGGGACAATAATCATTGATGAAGTTATGTATCAGTTTAAAACAGAACATCATAAAATAAGATTATATTAGAATGTAGTTGATTCTATTGAAATTCTCGCCAAATACAAATTAGTATACTGAAATTTCAGCTATAGTTTTAGTAGAAATGACTAACGACACTAGGTGATTGTTTTGTCCGACGTAGATTTACTATAGTTTTAGTTTAAATTTCTATACATCAATTATACTTATTATTAGTATTATTTTGTGTTAACGATTAGTGTTAAACCAACCGAAATAATAAGATAGAATAATTTAGAAACATAAATGAGCAGAATATGTGATGTTTTGCCGAGGATTGTATTCATACTGAAATGCATAATATCTACATTGACCTTAAAATATCATAAAGATCACTAAGATTGATTGACTAAGGTGTATTATAGAGTTTTATTTAATTAGAAGTTTCTATTATCATTCTAACAATAATTAGCATACATATCTATAGAAATATAAATTACTACATAATCTAATTGCATGTGACTGAATATGTTACATATGGAAAATTCTGTTAACTTGGAAATATTGAGAAACTTACAAAGTTACATGTATCAAAGAAGTAAGAGTTTTCAACCTGTATATACTATTCAATAACTAATTTTGTATCATTCATATTATCATTGGAAAACAATTGAAGTTACAGAGATTGTGTAAAATGCTTCAAAGTGTGAACTTTCATTATATAAATAGTTTAACGTGTGAATACTAAAACGCCACATATATTTGCAATTCATTTAGCAAGTTATCATATAGAAAGATACATTCAATCACTGCTCTATAACTGATTTGTATGTTTCATTCTACTACCAGTCAGTCAATCGATCTCAAACAATATACTTCTACTCCAGTGAGTATCAAGTGTTGAGGTAGGTTGTAGTTGGTCAAACGTGTAGTGGGTCCTTATTTGGTGAAAATTCATAAACTTAATAATAGATTAATCATTTTCGTCTAGTAGCACCTGTCTAACCTAGATAAAGCTCACTCTATGTTCCCAACACATGCGAGTAATGCTCTGAAGATATCTATGATTTGATACTAGCAACCAGTCCACGCTCTCTTCTTCTAAAGGTTATGTTTCACAAGCATATAGCAAAAAATAGTGCATGGTTGAGTAGGATACTGGTTCTTTGGTTGGCAGACATCTTGCCTACGGCGCAGCTAGCACAATTAAACAATGTCAACTGAGCTTTCTGGACGTGGGTCGAGATTACATCAGATCCATCCAAACGGGACTGATGAAACTTCTACGATAAGTTGAGTGATTCACTCACTTAGACAACCCCAATTCAGGCGTTGACACGGAGCAGTCTTGAGAAACTTGGGATTTAAAGACTGAGAAACTCCAAATATGCTTGGACTGCAGCTTAGGACGCTTAAGGGACTGCATCTAATAAGTGCCTTCACTAAATGGACCAGGTAAAAATCATACTCTAAGTCACTAAATAAATCATCTGACCAGATGTCAGTCCCTTAAAAGTCAGATGAAGAACCCGTATCTATGCTTACAGAGAAGCTGAATAGAAATGGTGACACTGAGCAGCTCTGACAAAGAGCGCTTGAGGCTGACAGTTTTAAAGATAGTTCGCCATAAGCCTACACAAAGCCTTTGCACTTTTTTTGTACACCTAATGATAAACATTGTCATAAAGCCTTTTGGTCTACGAAGTCGAATGCTAACTTCAACTCAAGTAATATTACTACTGTCGGACATCAGTAGGTATGCCTTAGCTCTGAAACCTGACAAACGGTCAATATTTGATCGACACTTAGATATCCAGATTTGAAGCCACCCAGGTTTATGTGAGTTTACTATTCACGAACCCTAATTTAGGGTTGCATGTTTCCAATGTTACAAGTAGGGACTTTGTTTGTGCAACTCACTCACAAAATAAAGATCCAGAATTTACGAAACAGGTCTAAATTTTAAACAATGAGAATCGCCTAAAATACTAGAACACAAAGGTTTGGGTTTATGATTTCCTAATGATTGCTTCAAACGTACAATATGCATAAAAGTTTGGCAAGGGTGACAAGAATTTTCAAGAATCAGCGATAAAAACAAGAAATGCTTAAACTGGTAAATATTTCCAATAACAGATTACTTTATGAATACTTTCCGTATGACAAATTAGATAGAGCCCACATAATACGTCTGATGTTGATTGTAAACTGGACGCATAGCAACTGAGCAGTTGGCAAGAATAAATAAAACATAATGAAGTACGTTTGTGCTAAGGGTCACTTTGAGATTATAAAACCTCTCCTTTAAGCCCACAAAATCAATAACAACCATAGAGTTACTAACTAGTATTAGGATGGGTCCTCTGAATTTCTATTAGGATGACGTGATCTGATGAGTGAATTAGGTTGAAAGTGAGACAGTACCTTACCGATCATAGCGGATAAGGATAACGCCACAAAACAACGTAGCTAAAGTTTAAACTATGAACCACTCCATTTCTACTCAATGGTCGAAAATTACTGTGTTGGACCCTTTTCCGTGTTGGTTCGTGAGTTTACATCACTAAGAAGTCCCGCAATGGAACGAAATATTAGACTAGTGATCTGTGAGTTTTAATTGCTCTTCAAATGGCATCAGTTCTCAATGGGAATCATCTTCAAAATATACAAACATTTTTGTAAAACCCTCAAAACTAATAATCCAAACATAAACTTAAATGGAAAATGGTATGATAAGCTGAGAGATTGCTGAAAAATAAACAAATGATCCAAATAGATAATTCAAAGCAATCATAAACTAACAATTTTTTATGTATTACAGACTATGTCCCTTCGCGTAACTCCGCCTGTAACCCCTCTGAGGCTAACTACGGTCCCAAGCCGAGATAAAAGAACGTTGGATATGGGGTTAGTGACCTCATCCCGTAGAAAACTAACTCGCTAAAATAAACGCTAAACAGAAAAAACAATTCATCCCTTCGCGTACTTTTAAAAATAGAATTATGTTCCTTACTTCGCGTATAATAGTTGCCTCGATTGCTTTGTTTTGTTCAATAACCTCTTTAAGAACCAACAAACAATTAGATTGTCGGTGTTTTACCTGAAATGGAACGAGGTGAAAAAGCAAATTAACACGGTTGACACAGGTATAAATAAATACAAACACACAATCATGAGGTTTTTTAGAATAGTAGGAGACATGCTTTTATGATAATCTTCGGATAATGTCATTTTTATTACCTACTGTATAAACAATTATCGGCCAGTAGATTGTCGCAGTCAAACATTTAAACCTATTATTATCACAACACTAGCATCATTTAGAGGAGTACCGAGAAGAATGGAAGGATAGACAAGTTGTTTGTTCAAGTTTGCGACTTTCTAGGATTGTACACCTATGGCTTATGATATGAATGAACTCAAACTATAGTGTCCAGGCTAGTACAATCTCACTTTCGAATTGACTTACTCGTTATGAATTTTCGGTTCAATGTTCACTTAGCTTTGCATTCTTCAAGAAATTATTTGGATATACATTACTACGTCAGACAGAAAAGAAGTACTTTGTAATAAACTGTAATAAACTTTGCGTCTATGATGAAGAGCTTTTATCTTAAATAGGGAAATCCTGCAAGTACAAACTAATGAAAATTGAGAAGTTTCACCAATATGCTCTTCTAAGAGAGCGGCAAATTACATTATTAGCATAAATAACGATAACGTATTAAATGCACTCTTTTATGAATAGTTGAAATAAGTTAAATAAAACAGACTATTTGAATTAACTTCTCTGTTGTAGTGTTTGAAGATGCAATAAAATGGTGTCAAGGTTGCTTCCTAAAAACTTGTTTCAAAAGTTCGGCAACCGGAAAGACAAGACAAGAGCACATTTAACGAAAAAACACAAACAACTAAGCTGAATGAATGATAAGATGCATGTATACAAATTCATCTCGCTCAAAATTCACATCAGTTTAAGGCCTTCTTATGACCACAAGGTTTCACTTTTTTAACTCTCACGTGTTAAACTATGCAATTATATGTCAGTTTGTGTGGTAAATTATCATGTGAAAGTAAATGACAATATTTAGTGACATCTTCAAAACAGTGAATACTCCGACCCACAATCAAATTAGTTATAGGTAAAATCCTTAGGTAGTTAATAAGCAAATCGTCACTAAATAAGTCCAATCTAGTAAGGTAATACAATGTCTCTTTATGAGGACTCTCAAATTAACATATGGTATTTGAAGTTGTAAGTAAACTTCTGCAATGATGTAAACTATTTCTCTTTAGACTCTACACATGCACGAAAATATTCTTTGTTTAACATCTTGCACTGACATTTTGATGTAGTAGCGCCCAATGTATTTGATCAACAATAATTGAAAACACGGTTATAATAATGATAATGATAATAATAATAATAATAATAATAATAATAATAATAATGCAGAAAAATGCTATTTTAAGATATCAAAAACGATTAGTGATAATTTGTTACTTTCAAGAATCACAAACTATCTTCTTAGTAATGGAAATCAGTTAATATTCGAATGCCCAACTTACTTTTATAGCTCTACCATATGCTCCACTTCCAATTTCACCTAATATTTCTAGATCTTTCTCGTCTATACTCGGAGGAAACTCTACCGTGGATCTAACACTAGTCGTACGAGTCAATGAAACACGATCACATTCTTCTTGAATGGTGCATTGAGCGTTTGAACGTGAAAATCTACAACTAAATATAGTTATTGACAGCTTTGCAAAATTACTACCCATGATCCTTGCTATCATTTCGTAAAGATGCACTCTAAGAAAATTGATATTACTTCACTTCCGATAGAAATGATCTTACAGTCTGAAGCTTCTTTGTTAACATTCGTTTATTTGTGAAATTTCCAGGTTCCTGGGAAGTCAAAATTTACTTAAGAGTTTTACTTGTAGTAAACAAAACAGATAAGAAAAGTTTAAATCTGTCATATACTTAGATAATATAGTTTGGTAAATCCACAGATTGTGGCAGCTTCATTTCATCCAGCTAAGCAATTTTAAATTTATACCACGAGTTCATAAAACACGTTCACACAAGCCTATACTTGTTTGAACAGGTATAAAGTAAAATAATTGTGTGACGGTTAAATGTCGCTTCTATCCTAAATAGCATTGTTATTTCTCAAGAAACGTAACCCAACAATGCCTAAAACAGAGGACGATTATCTGGATGGTCTCAAACCTGGCAGTTGCCGATAAATACTTCCAAGTTTGTTGTGATGCATATCGGTCATCAAGGCACAGATACATACACCATGAATAACACTGAGCTACCTGTCGTCCAGACATATAATGACTTAGCCAAGACTTAAAGACTACTGCACACTGCCGTGCAATAGCCGCCAAAGGTTTTAGAACGTTATGGTCAATACGTAGGGCTTTTAGTCATGTCGACGCTAAGACGTTTTTGACTTTGTATACAGTGTTCGTACGTCCTAAACTTGAGTACTTCATACAAGCGGCCAGCCCCTGCTTACAAAAAGACAGTGAACTTCTGGAAAAGGTTCAGAGAACGGCAACTAAGCTGATTCCCGGAATAGAGAAGCTTCCGTCTGAAGCTCGACTGGCCAAGCTGAACCTTTCCCCGTTGTCATATCGCAGAACTAGAGGCGACTTGATTACAGTCTACAAATTGCTTAGTGCCACATTCGCACCTGACATGCCCTCATTTTTCTTGTTTTCCAAAACAGAATTTATGAGGACACTCCAAAAACGTTCACAAGCAAAGAACAAATTACTTGTCAGCTGACTATCGACTTTCCCATCGAATCATCAACGAGTGGAATTCACTACCTGAGCACGTGGTTGAGGCTCCATCCGTCGACTCTTTCAAAAGAAAGTTGGATCAACTGAGGGACCACTATTGTCAGGACTAACACAGTCCATCAGGCCTCCTGTCCTTCCCAAACTGAAACTGAAACTAATCCTAAAATTATAATACCGCGTTGATGTAGAGAGGCTTAGATTTATCGACAACAATCTACTACATAACGATTTAGATAACACTATTTTATCTAATCACCATAGATGTAATATAAAATTAAGGAAGTATAAACTAAAACTGAGAAATAAGTTCTACAATAAGCTTCACATGACAACATATCAGTCCAAGTAGCTTAATGTAGCAAAGCGAAAATGTGATAAAGGTCATAGAGGAGAGAGAAAAAAGAATATACAATAAGATCAGGTTTATAGAAAGATAAACCACAGATGCATCTGGAATATTTTGATCAGTGTAAACCATTAATAATAAATTTATTTATTATTTGTTGAACTCAGGTTAAGATCCTTTCTCTAATACCTGGTCAGTGGACTAAACAACCAACTCGTAGAGATGAGACTAAATCCACCACTCAATGCCTTTGAGAAACTGTGCTATCATGTACTGTTGCCACGAATTACAGTGATTGCATAAAATGACCGTAAATCGGTAGATTATTACAAGCGTTTTTTGTATCCCCTAAAATCAGCAAGATCATGACTTGTGGACGAACCAATGTAAGTAAAGATAGCCAATCTTCTACTTTGTCTTGAAATATACTCACCCATATAGTTAAAGCGCATTTTGGCATAATATTTGATATCAATTCGTGATGAAAAACTTACTTTAATTCGTAACGTTGAATTCTGAATGTAAGTACTGATCCCATTTCCCTATACTTATTCGTTAACTCCATTCGACTCTAGTGGGCAGGTAGGTTTTCTCAAAGTCACTACCATCGCCCACATGTGTGGGCGAAAAGTAGACAATTCTGCGGATATTTAGGCGAAAATCCAATAATTTGGCGGATATTTAGGCAGAAATTCGACAATTCTGCGGATATTTAGGCAGAAATTCGACAATTCTGCGGATATTTAGGCGAAAGCTAGTAATTTATCGACCAAACAGCGAAAAAGGGGGTAAACCGCATTATTTTCCCCGGACAGGCAAAAAGGCGACATTCTTGTGCGTTTTCCTTTTCATTCGCCTTTATTTCCCTTTTTTGGTTGTCTGGGATGTTTTAAAAGGCAAGGTCGTCCATAGTTTTACTGTCTACCACGTGCGAGATATAAAACTTGTGGAAGTATTAAAGTGTTTATTAGCTGTTTTAGCTGTAGCAGCTTATCAAAAACAGAATCCCCATAAAGATAAGCATGCTACTAACTTTGGAAGAAAATGGACCAATTTTGGTTGTATTCTCTCCACCTTTCAGCGTATACTAAATGAAAATACGCAACTCAAAACGTTTTGTTAAAAATCTAGCGCAAATCACGACTTAAAAAGCATCACCACTAAATACAACAGACTTCACTGAAAGTAGGATTAGATTTGCACTACATAGTTTACACTAATAAAACAGCCAAATGGTACATTAAAACAAACGTTAACTCAACAAAAAATTACTTTTAGGGTTTTTACCGTCAGTATAAATTCGCCTTTAAATGTGTTATCGAATTCATTTCGCTTCACAACATTCATCTTACGTTCTTCAAAATGACAGGATGTACTGTTTATGTAAACGTTATAGGAATTTCAATTGACAAGCGATTATTACTAGCTGAGTCACATTCCCATAGTTCTTCGAAATTCGTTGCGAATTATAAAACTCTACAGCATTTTTGGTCTGGTTGAAATAAGTAAATTAAGGTTATTTGTTTGTGCAACCATGATAAAAACCCTTACACCACTTTACATCAGCTTGTATTGTAGATAGATTTTTAAGAGAGATTCCCCTTCTGGATCACTTACGATACATCACGCAAAACTTTTAAGCATTAGGACTAGTTTTGAGGTTTCAAAACCGATTCCCCATTTGTGTTTGCTGTTGCAGACTTGGATTGATCAATGCTTGGTATAGGTTTTGTAGTGTCTACTAATATATCACGCCAATTTGAATTACTCTCGCCTTTTTTGACATCGGTTAATTCATGCTTTTCTGGCTATTATCGACAAATGTTTTAGAAGTTCGTTTACCTTGACGAATAATGACAGATGCTAAGCGAAGCGCAGAAGGCTAGCGGGCGAAGCGTAACTCCCTGTTTAGAGCCAGACGGAAAAGTTAGTCAGCCTTTTGATGGATTGAGCACACACATATACGCTAATGAAGAAACAATCAAGGTTACAAAGAGGGAGCTGGCATATCATATCCATATTATTATCACCAGGTTCAGTAGAAAGAATTATAACGCATTATAGCGGTAAATAAATTTCCAGAATAAATAGCTGTGTAAGTTTTCAACATTGGATGCTGACCACATTGGTTTTAATGGACTTGTAGAATTATGGTCTACTATGATATTAGTACTGCTCTAATAATAGACCTAATCCTAAATTTGTAGATTTGTCATGATATAACTGCCTAATCTATAAGATCTTACGTGGAAGTCACACCATCGACTACACCAACTCACTGTATCGTATCAATTACCAATACATGATGTAGAACAAGGTTAGGCTAGAGAAAGAACAATATATTTAATATGAATAGAAGATATAAAGTAACATTGAGATGGATCACGCCTGCATGGACGAGCCATGCCATCCGATCAAACCCAGTCCATTCAATTCCTTGTTCGCGCCTTCTCCATTGTTAGGTATTTCTCCGCGTTAAATGTTGAATATCTATTTTCTGAGTAGTCTCGTGTTCACAGCTTTGTGGATTGTGTGGCTATTGTCCATTGCCAGTACACTACTCTCCCACCAGAATCAACGAGATGTTGGTTCGATACCAAATTGGATGGGATCGTCGCGCGCCGGAGGTTACCAAGGATAATAAGAATCCTCGGGTATTGGTAAGCTGAAAGATAAATCAAAAAGAAAGCGGCAGCATCTGGTCGGGAAATACATGTAATAATTTTAAAATATCTGCCTTCATGCTTAACACACTTAAAGTGACAATTTGGGTGAAGATTATTTGAACTATAAAAAATGAGATTGCAGTAATAATAATAAAACAATGCGTGTTAATAGCCGTTGGTTAATAACTTAACGTTTAGGTAGTAAGTATTTTGTGTTTAGAAATATTAAAAGCAATCAATATTGTAGAAATGTTAATATTGGTATTAGTTTTGGTTTAAATTATGAAACCAATTAACAATTATGCCGGTAACCCGTCCATATGTGATTTCCAATTGCATCTGTATTAGTAGGCTAACTGGAAGAACAAAAGTATTACCATGGAAAAGAATTCCAACTAGTGTTCCAGTTAGTTTGATACGGTTTATTTAGTTACGGGGAGATTTTCTCAACCTCATTTTTACTTGACCGTGATAGAATTTGGTAATGCTACTAATACACATGAATGTTCATCAAAACAAAATTTAAATACGTGAGTGATGATTATATGAATTTTGGACAGATAGCTAGGAACAAATCGTTAAACTTGAGTGTATTCGTAAGAGCCATGCTCTGTACTCAATGTTCTGATCTGCGGCAGACTATTTATTTATATTTATACTTGCTGGCTGATTGGGCATACAAGTTAGTTGCAAGTATGCAGTTTATCATAAGGCGGAATACGATTTAATTGAGATATAGTGGTTATAAGTTATTAAAATCAGTTAGGCCTGTGTCATATTACGAAGTGATGTGGTGCTGCAAGATGTGTTTAGCTAAATAAGTTTTTACAAGATGATTAATAGTGAGTGATGCTCATGTGATTATCAGGGAGAACATAAGTTTTAACCAGGGGGAGTACATTCCCAACTCATGTCTATGATAATGGCTTGAACCTTAGTCAGTGTTGTGGTAAATTCGACATTGATGTTTTCAGTTTGCAGGAGATTTGCTCGACTGCTTATACTGATTATTTGCATGCATGATTGTGTCGCTAAACCATCAATTAGACTGACAAGGTTTCGAGATATTTACTTAATGAGCAACTGATAGAGAAACATACTGTAATCATCTGTGATGGATGAAGATACCAAGAAAACAACACCATTTAATGGTAATTATAAGTCAATTTGTTGACCGATTTCGTTAATAGTTTCATTAATTTTATCAGTCATATTACGTGATTGTCAAGTTATGACAATGCTTTATGACGATATCCTGAAACTATTAAATTTAACTAGTTATAGTGTTGATTAAGGATTAGTCAGTGGAAAAATAGGTATTGTTGCTTTAGGTGATTCAAAATCATCAGAAATTTACAACGTTAAAGAATTCGAGACGCCTAATTTAATTATAAATTTCAATTTAGAAATATTCGTTTAGTGTTAATTCTAGTAGGCTACGGAGTTTTGATTTTAAACGTTTGTTTAGCCAACAGCTACTTGGGGATTTAGTTATTTTACTAGTGCAGTTGATAGTACTTAAATTTTTAATCTTATTATCTAAACTATGTTCGCATTTTAGGCTGCTATGATAAACCAATCCATAAACCCAAATACGATTAGCAACAACGACTATGATGGGTTTATTGATAAATGTTAAAGGCGATCCAGATGATTTCTAAATTTAGAAGACATGGAGATATAGTGTGACGTATGTATGGGCCAGGTTAACATGCAGGTTGTTGACGTATATGACGATTTAAAAATAATGAACATGACCAGAAAATAATTTTAAAGTTAAGACTGCTTGTGAAACGTCAGGCAGGAATATGATGCGTTCTAAACATTCCATAAGAAGTTACTGCATTTAGCTTAGTGACACTTACAAATATATGGCAAAAGCAACTGAAAAACATATACATGTTAAGTACAAAAAAATCATCCAGTAAAATAGTTGAACTCGCCTTGATTATTTTTGAAAATTAGATTATTCAGTGGACGACATAAATAACGCCATTCGTGAGTAGTATTGATCCAAAAGCATCCAGAATAAAACATGCAGTATGGCAATTAATTCCAGGGTGCTTGATGCTGTTGAGGTTTTTGACACTCGCTCGGATCAGAACAATCGAATGAATCCAGATAATTGTGTGGTTGTCATTGAACGAACCATCTAAAATTGATTGCAGAAAACTTATAGCTGAAACTCACCGTATGTTTTTGGAGAAGTGTCATCCTTGTTGTTTGGCAATGGAACTCGAAAATATGAAATTAGGCAGGCAGTGGTCAGAAGAAAAGATATTACAGGATAGTGCATAGTTTAAAACAGGATGTGTTAGGTGAGGGAACACTGATAATTAGATCCAGATAACTATTCAATCCTTGATTGCATTGTTAGTCAATGTACATTTACGCTATTAACAGGTCATATTTGCTAGAGCTTGATGTTTAAACAAGTCTATGTCGCTGAAGCATGTAAACGCTATTAAAGCTTGTTAACGAACCATCAAAGCTAATTAGTTGATATAGATGATCAACTTTTATTATCGATTGAGCTAGTAAGTTATGTGAACTAATGGATATAACATTACGATAACATATGTGACCATTAATCAAAGGACTATTAGAATAATGGGTTTACAAAAATAAAATCCGATTGAGAAGGTTAAGGTGGAAATAAGGATTAACAATAATAGGTTGCGTTCCTTTAGTTGGGCTCACCAATGTAGAACTATGGTCTACTATGATATTAGCACTGCTCTTATAATAGACCTAATCCTAAATTTGTAGATTTGTCATGATATAACTGCCTAATCTATAAGATCTTACGTGGAAGTCACACCATCGACTACACCAACTCACTGTATCGTATCAATTACCAATACATGATGTAGAACAAGGTTACGCTAGAGAAAGAACAATATATTTAATATGAATAGAAGATATAAAGTAACATTGAGATGGACCACGCCTGCATGGACGAGCCATGCCATCCGATCAAACCCAGTCCATTCAATTCATTGTTCGCGCCTTCTCCATTGTTAGGTATTTCTCCGCGTTAAATATTGAATATCTATTTTCTGAGTAGTCTCGTGTTCACAGCTTTGTGGATTGTGTGGCTATTGTCCAATGCCACTACAGACTCACCTAGCTGAAGGCGCTCGGTCATGCATCCGCAGCAGAGTACGAGTGGGAACGTCATGCTCAACATCTACTGCAATCGGTAGCCAGATTAGATCAAACAACCCCCAATGTATTTATAATTTACCAAATATATCTTCGAAACTCCCCATTTCTCTCTTTCGATTTTACTTGATGAATGATTCACAGTAGACGATGTTACTGGTTAAAGCGTTGTCAAACTCCGAAAAACTGTGGCAACTTCAGCAAATTTCATTAACATCAATATCGTTCGATCGTTTGGAAAGAGAAACGCGAAACCGTCAATGTTTTCAAGAAAAGCCGGCATCCAATGGTGTTAGTGTCTAACATCAACCAATCCACGAAATTGCGCGACCACCTTCCATTGTACTGAGGTGGATACCTGTCTCTACCCGACAC